AGATAGAATGCCAGAAAATATGCCAGATAGAATGCCAGAAGATATGCCAGATAGAATGAACAACCACAAAGACAACAATAAACACACAACCACAAACACACAACTACAAACACAACAACCACAAACACATCGACAAACACACAACAAACACACAACCACAAACACAACCACAAACACACAACCACAACACACAAACACAACACACAAACACACACCCACAAACACACAACCACAAACACACAACCACAAACACGCAACCACAACAACACGACCACAAAGACACAACCACAAACGTACAGCCACAAGCACAACCGCAAAAACATCCACAAACACACAATCACAAACACACAGCCATAAACATACAATCACAAACACAACCACAACCACAACACAGCACACAACCACAACCACAACACACAACCGCAGCACACAACCCGAGGACCCACAAGCAAAATCGAGAACTACAATACCCACGACCATGGCAACATGCTCCTCACTATGGCATCAAGTCAAATGATTGAAATGTCATGGTGGGGATCACTCGAAGTAAAGTAATTTTCTTCTGCAGATTTGAGTCAGAATTTCCGGATCAGAGAAACACAGTACAACTTACACCCTTATATAATATATACAATCTCTTGTTTTGTTTTATAGGAACATCTAGGTGCAAGGGGTTTTCTAACTTCTGACAGGTGCTTAAACTAGTCCCACTCAAGTTCCCCATTCAAAGTGCAGTTTTTCACAAAGTCACACAAAAAGAGTCAGTTCAATCTACGTACTATATACGAATGATTTCATGTGTTCTGATCGTACAGTTTTGGTTTTCAATCTCCATTGCAAACGGCGGAAGCCGCAGCTTCACCGGCAGCGGGACCGTTCGGACGGTGCCTTTCAATTCTCCACTTTCCTCCGCTTTCCGAAAGCCAGACATGACTTGCGTTGGCAGGTTGATCTACAGCAGAATTGACTCCAAAGGAAATGAGCACAAAGAGCTAGTGGACAAAGGCCATGGGCGTGTCCCGCAGACCTGTTTTTTCTTGCGAGTCACCCAAAATGGGAAACGGGCATCTGTGGATGAAAATCAGCCGCAGTTTTGGGTCTATGGATGTGTATGGAATCGGTCTCTTTGGAGACAGGCTACCTACGACACATGAGACCTTTGACCATGTGGCTACAGCATTCTTTGGGCCCATCCAAGTGGATTTCAGGAATTGCCCTAAACATTGAATCGATGTGGGTAAAGCTAGGTACGAATCGAACTAGAGTCTTGATCTCCTTTTGTGTGCTTCACTATGGGTTTCACTTAAGTTTGTGTTTGGTTTCTTTGTTCGGGCTGGTGGCAGATGTTTCTTTCTACGTTGGATGTTAAAAGCTCAACATGTGTCACTTGCGATTCTTCACTGGATGCCCTGGTCCTGAAATGGAGGAAATACATGTGCCCAGCACGGCTGCACGGGGAAGGACATATACAAAGAATCCATTGCTGGTCCAGAAATGATGGTGGAGTGGTGATGGTTGCAACTAGGTCTTGTCACTATTCTTGGGACTAGTTCATAGTGATAGATAATATGGATCCATAAGCGGGGCAAACAAGCGATCCAAAACCAACTACAGGAGAGTGACAGGAATAGTTGGATTGTGTTCACATCGGGCAATTCCACCCAATTCCACCCAAGGAGGCCACCACCTCAAGTAGCAACACTTTGGCCAACCATGCTACCCAAAGAATTGAGTCATGTTACATGTTGTTTCCATGGCGCCATGGTTTTACCTGCTTCATCGGAACGAAACCCTGGTGCTTCATCGGTGCGAACTCGGCGCGTGGCCCGGCGCAGGGGAGGATTGGATCTCGGAGCCTGTGCTTTGGACAGACAGTTGGATCCACCTGGGCTTGTTGATCTCCATGACCGAGAGCGATCTGTGCCTTGGAGCCAAAGCAGTCAGGATCATTGTCATGTTGTTGGATTGGTTTATTTATCGTTATTTTTGTTGTGTGTGTGTGTTTGTGTCAGTCATTTGGGAGGTGGCACAAAGGTGTGGTGTGTGTTACGTGTGTGCTGGGTCATTCATCGTGGGTCGTTTGGGCGGGGTGTTTCTGGTTTCTTAGGATTCCCGGCGACCGAGAAGGATCCCGAGATCTGTTCCACTTTGGTCATCTTTGGGTCCAAAAACCGCAGCAGAAGATCAATCAATGAACCTCTAAGAATCGTCCAAAACCCGCCCGATGGGGACTCCGCCTTTTCCGAAAGTTGACCTCATGGACGGATCTTTTGCTCCATCTACACGTGGTGTGGCTCTAAGTTGAGCTTGGTATGTGGCTCGCTGTTTTGTTACGAAAGATTTCCTTAAACGGATTCCATTCGGGGAGTCTGCCGCATGGAATGTGAAGCAAGAAGAGAAGGAGTACTCCGCATGGAATGCCAGGATGGTCCTGGATCCGCTCCATTTCGGTCGCATCGTCAACCTGAACCCCGATGCCGCCGCTCTAGCGCACACATATGCCACTCGACAAAAGGAATAAAGACCTGGGACACAGCGATGGGACCCTGGGAAAGGTTGCGGATTTTGGAAGTAGATCTTTTCGGAGTTGTCAGGTGTTTGATTAACAAATGGTGCTAACAGTCAAGAACCAAAGATGGCAGAACTGGGGATGGTTCTAATTCTGGGCTTTCCATTGTAGAGGATTTGGGATCAGATTCCCAGGGGCAAGACATCTTACACAGTTTGCATGGAAATATACATGCAGCGTTGTTGAATTGTTGTCCATGCCCTTTCCGGTCAACTCTAACGGAATAAACTCAATTATTTTGTTGCGAAATCGCAAGGATTTCGCCACGGACAAGCGCTTCAACAAACCCCCTCGTTCGTCTTCGTCTTTGGCTTGATCGCCGCCTCACCGAGGTGATGAACTTTATCAAGTGGATCAATTCAGTGCCGCCCCCCGGCAGAACCGATGGCCGGCTTCCCGTCGACCCCGAAAAACTCACGTCAGACCGGACGACGGGAGACAGTCCGCCTCGAAGGAAAGACCACCAGCTGCTTCCGTTCGGGACCTGGGACGGGACCTGGGACGCAGCTGCTTATAGGTCACCAGACAGGACACCCAGACAGGAAGCGCAGAAAGCACAGACAGTTCGGGGATTGGTCCTTCAACCTGGAGCCGGACCAGACCGGTCCACGAATGGTGTTCAACGAAGATCTCCTGGTTTTGATCCACATTTGGAGTCAATTGACCGAATAGACGTACTGAATCGTACGTATATACAGACGTTTACATGGAGGGAAGACCCAGCTGATTTGCGGGAACGTGTAACAAGGAACATTGAGCAGACAGGGTTTGATCAGTAGCCCTCTGATCAAGACACATGGGATCATCGGGTCTCGAATGTTTTAATTGTGTTGTTGAAAATATTTGTATTTTCTTGACAGCCTTGTTTTTTGCTCGACTCCGCTTGTGGCTGAACTTAAACAGTCTACTGAAGTGCTTAGGGATCTCGAATCCGTTGTCCAAGTCCTTCGATTTACGACGTGGCGTGGGAGAAGATACTCTTCGCATGACCGACCCCACCGAAATCGGTGTCCTCCACCGATCAAGTCGGGAGACTCTGTATGTACCTCCTCCTTCTTGCACCTGCACCGTGACACCGTGACGTCCAGGAGAGATAGCCTGTCGGACATTTGGCAGGGGGAGAACGTGGGCCCTCGCGTCGCCGGCTTCATGGAGCTCGACGAGAACCAGCTCCTAAACCAAGCGAAGCGAAAGCGGAAAGGGAAGAGCTCGTTGGGTCCGATGCGGAAGGGGGGTGTCCGGTGATTATGTTGGGATGGTAGAACGAAGCAGGGTGGGGAGGCTTTGTTTGGGCTATGTTGAGCTAGTGCAGCACAAGTACATATTACTTGAATACGATTAAATAACTGTAATTCCTTTCTTGTCAAACAAGGAGCTTGGATCTCGTGTCCTGGCTTCGATCTCGTGTCGTCGTCCAAGCCCACCGGTGCCAGGTTTCGAAGCGCAAAGAGCCTGGCAGCCAAGCTGATGAACTGGCAGAAGTGACGTGGTCACGCACGGGTGACGCAGGACGAAGCGGCGTCGGCCAAAAACGAAGGGTTCATTTGGGTTCTAACGTGAGATTGTCCTCCAGGAGCTAGGCTTTAGTAGTTGATTTGGATTCCAATTAAAGCGAGATTCTTTGGAGAGTCTTCAGGAGTTTAGGGTTTAGGGTTTCTCTTAATCGATTTCAATTTGAACTTCACCATGGTCCAAGCTGCCCCCTAAATCTGGACATATTCGGCTATTTTCCGGCCGTAACTTGTGGTGCTCCCCCAAATTTGGGACTTGGAACACCAATTTCTTATATGAGTGTGATTGACTATGTGGATATCAAGACACACATACAGACACACTACGTGAATTTCACAGATGTGTTTCATGCTGATGATGTTCAATCGAGCATGTTTTGTTCAGCAAATCTTTGATTCACACCGCAGCCAGTCATTTTCGCGTCACATCATCAGCTCGCACGGTTTTCACTGTTGCTCCTGGTAGTGGGAGAAGTAGTGGAAGGTGTGAGGGGAAGCAGCTGCTGGAGATGGGAGTCACACGACACATGAAGGGGAAAAGTGTGAAGGTCAAAGGCAAAGGTCAGCAAGTCTGCAGGGTTTCGTGGAGTTGCACACACATGCAGGACGTGTTGCTCTTTTTGCAAATGTTTACTTACTGTAACTACGGTATTTCATTCAACCCACTTGCATCCACTTGCACATTTAAAAACACTGGATGTGGAATATATTAGACTTCCTCAGTGTGTGTGTGTGTGTGTGTTTCTAATTTGCGGCATGAAACCATTTTTGGAGTCATTGCCTTATATTTGAGTCTGCAGATGTTTCTCTATATGTCCGATATTCCGCGGGCGTTCATACAAGCTACGGGTTTTTATTGGTGAGCCACGGGCGTTTTTCCTCAAATATGCTTTTTCAGCTGATGTTGATTTTGGTTGCGGATGTGGTTCACAGACCTATATCAAAATATGTCGAGCAACCGACCAAAGTTCGAAGCAACCACAAGGCTGCAGGTATGTAGTCACAAAACACACATACAAACAGCATTTGCGGTTGAGATCGTATATTTAAATGGCCCAGTGGGTGGGGCACACAAACCACGTTCCTGCCATGACTTTTGGATGGTTTGTGTTGCGATTCCCGCTTATCGGTAGAGATGCCGAAGTGTCTCTATTTTCCTCAAGAAAAGACAAAGCAGTGGTCTTGCACGGGTGATTGATTGGCATAATGAATTGCCCATTTCCAGGCAAAAAACAACGGCCCAAAGCATGGCCGTCTCTAAATGCCATGCTGCAAAAGATGTCCGGCTTGAGGAATTCAGCATCTACCACTTGCAGGTCTTTGTTGCATGGGGTTGTGTACTGCGAAACCTTGTGAATGGCCTGAGAGTGTGGCAGTGGTAATCCGACAATTGTCTTGCGCTGAGAAGAGTCCGTGTTTCTGGGGAGTTCGGTTGAAGTTCCAGGACCAAATATCACTTCAGGGAAACTGAGGGTTTAGGTTTCGGAACCATGTGAGGCAGCAGTGGAATGCTACAACGACCAATGTGTCTTTCAACCGATCATGGCAGATGCTGCAGCAGCCAGTCCTTCCAATAGACTACCAGAACTGGGTTGTCTTACTGCTCGGATATCCTGTGTATATAGTTCATCGTTACTCATCCCAACACGGACATAACATAATTCGGCACCAAAACGTGACACACACAAAAAAGAATGGAATCTGTTTTTTGTCCTGGCTACCCTGATCCTTTATTATTGGTATCCAGAGGTAGTAGAGTTGCACTAGCTGAGCCTGCAAAATCCTGCAAATGGTCCATTCCCTTCTCAAAGAGAAGAGTGGAGGCTTCAGCCTTTGTTTTCCACGTCCTTTGAACGTGTCGGAATCCTTTCGTCGCATGGATCTTTGGATGAGTCGGGAAGCCAAAAAAGGGGGCCCACGCGTGGAAGAGAGGTGGTTTTGATGTTGATCCCTTCACCTGGTTTCGGGGGGTTTTGGGTGCCCATTGGGCCAAGCTGCCCGTACAAACAAATTCTTTTTATAGCGCGTGACTCAGTCACTGGGAGGTTTGCACAGTCTTGAGACTCTTGGCGTCTAATGCAGGAAGTCTCATAGAAGATGTGCTGATGTGCATCCACCCATCGAGCTTAAGATCTTCCTCGATATCGCGAGGATCGGCGAGGATGGCAATTGTGCAGAGGCCGTCACTTTCTGCATGGCCACGTACAAACTGCCACATAAACCCCGACTTTTAGTTAAGAAGCCCAGAATCTCGAACTTGCAGCTGATTAGAGAAACGTACCTTAAAGAGGCTTCTATTCGCTTGTCACTGCACCTGTAGGATTGCACATGCCCAATCGTTTGAGTGGCTTGTCACCCAGACCTGACAGACAGAGTCACTCGTGTGGACCATGGATCGTTGCCCAAATGCACCTCAACGAGACCGAACCCCAGGCGTTACCGAAGAATGGTCTACCATAGACTCATAGACCAGTCTACCATAGTCTAACCAGCCAGGGCCAGGGGGTCTCCCAATTCAACAACACACCCATGTGTCCTTCTGATTTTTACCTTCCTTCTGCTCTTTCTGTCCGGTGAGTTTGGCTCCTTCGGCCAAACCGTTCTCGACCCTGTGCGCGCTGTGTCCTGACCGAAGTTGAGACTTGGAGCAGAAACGAATCCAGACCTTGGGAAGACCAGGTGGGTCCAAACCCATCCAGAGCTGAGTTTGGTCGCTCGGTTTTAGCCTGAAGAAGCAGCCTGGGCAACCTAGGGAGAACTGCAGAACTTACACTCCCCTTGCAGCCCAGCTGCGGGGGGGGCTTCATCTTTCAACAGTTGGTTGACACCCAGCGTCGCTGGGTTTCGTCCCAACCTGCGTCCTTTCATCCCAACTGTTGGAGTTGCCTCCGCAGTTGGAGACTGTTGCGTTGCGAAAGCCTCAGCACTTTTGTTGGGCCAAAAAACTGCCTCATCCCAGAGATCGAACCCTTTTGCGGTCCTCCAGGGCAGCTCGAGGAGTCCGATTGACTATGACGGCCTGGACCGGGTCTGTCCCAGTTTTCACCTGTAGCCTGTAGCAGTCAATAACTGTTTCAAAAACAAGACCTGGAACCTAACCATCATCATCCACTCTTACTTACTATTACTGGGATAGACCCAAGTTCTATAACTTACAACCATATGTTTTGTTCGTGTCACAATCATGCCATTCAAATAATCTCACTGATCCAAGGAGGATGAGGGTTGCATGAGAGTCCATCATGGACCGCAACGGGCGTTCAGCGACATGGACCGCAACTTGGCCTGCACAAACTACAAGTTTTCCACACATGAAGAATGGACCTTCCTCATTGTTGTTTTTGTTTTATGGTGGTGCCTACATGATTGTTGCTTCTTGTTTGCAAACTGGTCGGAGCACAGAAGTGATGGTAAATTGAGTTGGTAGAAACTGATTCCAACTGGCCTTCGTCCGTGGCTGCACCACTGCCTCAAGGTCTTTGTTTTGCTGCCACCTTTTGCCATGGCCAATGTTGCCACAGAGCTGCAGCGTGGCTCGGTCGACGTGTCTCGATCGTCTCATGGTGGAACGCCGGCGATCCCCGGTCCAGGGCGATCCGCGCTCGGTCCGAGTCTCCAGTCATGTGGAGAATTGGAAGAGTCACTTGGAGAAGCCTCCCTCAGTGGTGAACTTGAGCGTGGCACTTTCAAAGTGAATGCAAAGAGGAATAGCCGCAGGAGTGCTATATATAGTGCTATATACCGAAACAAAACAGTCAGATGTGTATATATACAGTGTATACGTTTAAGATCTATATAAAAATGCATGCGGTTTGGTGATCTTTTTTCCATTTCCACCAGAATCCCATGGGGTGGACTGTCTTTGGGGTCGACACGGAGCTGGAAAGACGGCATCATCCCTGAGGTTCTTCATATCTGGCCGGGAGCTCTGATCCTGAGACCTACGTGCCAGACACTGCTCAGCACCGCTCATGATCTCCTTTTGGGGTTGTCTAATTCATTTTTGTGTGTCTCCTCCCTGTTTAGTGCTCAAACCCAAAGCCAAAAGTCTTCTCACAGCTCCATTTCCACACGCCCATCCGATCTCCCAAGTTGTGCAAATGTCCTAAATGTCTTGGTCCCCGACCACTTGAGAGAAACCGTCCCAGGACCAAACCTTCACCGATTGCACGGCCCTCACAACGTTCGCCTCGCCTCCCACAGATGCCAGTGTGACGGCCACTCGGATTGCAAGGGGAAATGTCATGCAACAAATACGCTCCCTGGAACTAACATGGAAGTGGAGTTCACCCCCCTGAAACAGCAGAGCTGTTTTTTGGTCTTCCGAAATCGGGGGCAGAGCGTCCGTGTGAACCATGTTACTGTAGAACACCATGCAACACCTGTCTCACAGGAAAGCCATGGGTGGGTTGACCGGGTGGACCCAACGGTCGTTGACGCCGCACTGGGACGACTTGGTGGGGTTAGACGTCTCACCTGCCATTCCAGGTAAGATCAAGTGTTGTGGGGCAGTCTATTAGTGAGCAGTGATCCATAACTGTTCCTGTAAACCTGCGAGCTTGTTTTCCATGATGTGGACAGCTGCAGCGTCCAGTTTCAAATGTGACCGGAACCAGTGCTCACACCGTGACGGAACGTTGAGCAGTTCGTGAGCTCATCCGCCCTCTGCTCGGACTCGTCCGTGGATGGACTCCCCTCCCTGCGGCATCGGCGGTTCGGTGAAACAAACGTGATGCGACCAACTCGGAGTCGAGGAGTGTATCTTTTGAGAGGGAGATCCGACAATTGTAAGGGCCACTGTGGACTAACTCTTGGCATAGTGTGGATTATAGTATTAGTTGAGGAAGCGATATAGATAATTATAGATATAATATGGATATTTTATATTGAAGTTGTCCAGGGTAAGCAGAGACATCTTGAAGTGTGATATAATATTGCTTGAGCCTGAGCGAAGGGTTGTGCTGAGCAATTGTT